CTGAAAGCCTACGATATGCAAGTTACTACTGTGAGAACTCTGTGTGTATTATCTCATTTAATCAGCAAATTTTTCCCTGGGGAAGGTACTATTTTACAGATGAAGAAAGAATTTAAGTAACTCGAGAGAGAGAGTATAAATAACTTTCACATGTTTTAGAACTACAAATAGGAGAGTCAAGATGTAAACCCAAGCAAATACAGGCAGTCTGATTTAAACCCTTTGTTTTTTACCCTGACCAAATACAAAGCATAACAAAGCCACCTGCCCTTTTCTTTTTCTGCATATTATACTTCTACTAATGAAGCATTAATTTGTTTTAGCACCCCTATTATAAGCCCTCATTGGCTTTTATTGCACTTGTAATCACTGAAAATCTTTAGGTCTGAGCAAAAAGAACAAAATTAGAGGTATCATACTACTTGACTCCAAAATAAACTTCTAAGCTATAATAACACAAACAGCATGATACTGGCATAAAAGCAGATATACAGACCAATGGAACAGAATAGAGAGCTTAGAAATAAATTCACTCATGGCCAACTGATTTTCAGCAAAGTTGCCGAGAGGCCCACATTGGGGAAAAGGCAGTCTCTTCAATAAATAGTGCTGGGAACATTTGATGTCCACATGCAGAAGAACGAGACTAGATCCCAATCTTTCACTGTATCGAGTCACATGCCACATAACATTTTAGCCAGTGAGGGACTGTATATATGATAGTCTTCTAAGACTATAATAATGTATTTTACTATACCTTTTTATGTTTAGATATACAAATGCTTACCATTGTGTTACAATTGCCTATAATATTCAGTACAGTAATATACCATACAGGTTTATAGCCTAGGAGCAATAGACTACACCATATAGCCTAGATATGTAGTAGACTTTAGTATCTAAGTGTGTTTTAAGTAAACTCTATGATGTTTGCACAAATGACAAAATCACCTAGCAAAGCATTTCTCACAATGTATCCCCACCATTAAGTCATCAATGACTACAACAGTCAACTCAAAATGGATTAAAGATTTAAATATAAAATCAGAAATTATGAAACTACCAGAAGATGATATAGGGGAAACATTTTGAGACATTGGACTAGGCAAAAAAGTTTTAGATAAGACTTCAAAAACATAGGCAACCAAAGCAAAAAGAGACAAATGGGATTATATCAAACTGAAAAGTTTGTGCACAGCAAAGGAAACAACAGTGAAGAGACAACCTGCAGAATGGGAGAAAATATGTGCAAAATATACATCTGACAAAGAGTTAATATCCAGAATGTATAAGAAACTCAAACAACCCAATAGCCAAATAAACCCAAGTAACCTAATTTTTAAAATGGGCAGAAAACCTTAATAGATATTTCTCAAAAGAAGACATAAAAATGGCCAACAGATATATGAAAAAAATCCTCAACATCACTGATCACCAGGGAAATAAAAATCAAAGCACAATTAAATACCACCTCACTATAGTTAGAATAGCTCTTATCAAAACACAAAGAAAGCAAGTGTGGTGAGGATGGGGAGAAAGGGAATGCTCATACACTGTTAGTGGGAATGAAAATTCGTACAGCCCCGAATGCAATGGAAAACAGCATGGAGGTTTAAAAGTTTAAAAGTAGAGCCACCATAAGATCCAGAATCCCCACTAGTGGGTGTATAAAGATATCTGTACTCCCATATGTGTTGCAGCACTATTTACAATAGCCAAAACCTGAAATCAGCCTAAGTGCCAGCAGTGGATGAAAGGATAAAGAACATGTGGTATATGTATACAGTGGAATACTATTCGGCAATGGAAAGAATGATATCCTGTCATCTGAGATGGAATGGATGAACCTGGTTGTTATGTTAAGTGAAATAAGCCAGACACAGAAAGACAAATAGCACATGATCTCACTTATATGTAGAATATATAAGTGATCTATATAAGATAATATATAAGATCTATCTGTATAGATAGATCTTATAGAAGTATAGAGTAGATCATTGTGATTAACAAATGCTTGGGAGGAGACGGGGAGAGGAGAATGAGGAGAGGCTGGTCAAGGGTTACAGAGTTTCAATCAGGAGGAATTCTGGAGTTCTTTTCCATAGTAGGGTGACTCTGGTTAGCAGTAAGGTATTGTACATTACAAAATATCTAGAAGAGAGGTTTTGAATGTTCTCAAGACAAAGAAATGACAAATGCATGAGGTGATGACTGTGCCAAATACCTTGATTTCATCACTACACAATGTGTTCATGTGTGGAAACATCAAAGTGTACTCCATAAATATGTACAGTTACAATGTGTCAGACATTAAAAAAAAAACCCTCTAGGTTTTTTTCACATGGTCTGCTGCTAGGATATGTCTTTCTAATTCTGCGCTTGCACTGTTGGTTTTGTGGACCTGAATTCTGTACTGTATCTTTTCCCTCTTCAGTTTCAGTCGGTTTTGCTTTGGTGCATGATTCCAGCCTATTGAGTTGTTTTGAGTTGTGACTGTGCTCTCTCAGCCCTGTGTCACCAACAGAACTGGTAGGTGTACCTTCTGCTACCTCTCCTAGGTTGTTGGTAAAATTACCAAGCAGAATAGGACAAAAGACAATTTCTGTTCCTGTGTTCGGAGAGGGACTTATCATGTTTGATCATAACCAGACATAGCCTTGTGAGACCACCTCAAAACTTTGTTTCTGAAATTATTAAGCAAACTCCTTTTCCTTATTTTCCTCTAACTCAGAATTTTTCAACTTCTGCCCTATTGGAGAATTTGGATTGGAGAATTTTTGTACTGGGGGGCTGTCCTATGCATTAGAAGATATTTAACAGCCCCTGACTTCTACCCTCTAGATGCCTGCTGTACTGCCCCCTCCCTTCACCCAGACAACCAGAAATGTCTTTAGACTGTCAAATGTTCTCTAGGGGGACAAGACTGCTTCCCCTTTAATTTACAGTCACTGCTGTAACCTCATAAATGATTAATTAAACAATCAACTATTTATTAAGAACCTACTATTTGGCTAGGACCTAATGATTTCTGAGAACACTAAAGAAGACATGGTCCTTGACCTCAGGAAGATTATACTATAAGAGACATGACCAAGCCCACAGAACAACTGGGAGAAAAAAAAGTCCATTAGTGAGTGATGAAGCATGAGATTCAGGCATTTAACTCAGAGAATTAAGAAGACCAGTGAGAACAGAGATTTCAACAGCTCAGACTTGATTGGGTTGGGAAATTTGAACATAAATAGGCATGGGAAATTTCCCTCTACACAAAAACATATAGGCATACCTATATATTTAGGTAACTTTTTATGTATAGGCAAACTTTCAAAACATAGGCCTTACCTTCTAAATAAAAAAATCAGAGCACACAATTTTACATGTAGTTTGACAATGGGCAAAATGCCTATATTTGAAATCATACCTCCCTTGGAGAATTTGAGGTCTGTGGTTTCAGAAGATGTGGAGGTGGTGGAGGACATTCAGGTTGGAAGAGTAATGTAAACAAAGGTACAAAAAAAAACAGAAGGGAACGAGAGTGGACCAGGGTTCATGGTAGGCAGCCTGAGAAATCAGGCAAGAGGGCCGGCTGAGACAGAAGCACATCAGAGACACTGAAACCTGGCATGGGAGTTTTAGTCTCAGATGTTTTTGAGTTCAGGAGTGGCAAAATGAAAGAGATTAAAGGAAGGACAGTCTGACAAGGGACTGTTTAGGGTGAATGTGTTAGAGGGTGCAGGGGTGGTTTGAATGTTGAAAGCCAGACAAGGTGGTAGCTGAGTGGGCAAAAGAGTATAATTAATACAATAGAAGAGGCATTTTGGAAGAGCAGCAAGAAGGATAAAATTGAGTCAGTTCCTAGGAAGTTTCTTGGACGTTGAAATGGAGGCTCTGCCTTGGTATAGGGCTGAATTTCCCATTTTGGAAACTGGGAGAACCGCGGTGCCACTGACATTCTTCTTTTCCTTTTAAACTCCAAATATGTTTCTTTTCCTCGGATATTCTTACTACATTCTGATTGCTTTTTCCTTTGGGAGTGGTAAGAATAGATTTCAGAGAGAGATGGCTTTTGACCAGGGCCAGGAACATTGGGTAGGAATGGAGTTGGCAGAAATGAAATGGAGATGTGTGGGGCGTTGGATGAGGGAGAGAGTCTGAGCAGAGGCAATGGTGTGTTTGGCAAAAATGCACAGCTGTTGATCAGAGGAGTAAAGTGTCAGTACCTGATTAGGACAGGTAACATGGAAAATGTACAGAGACAACCATCAAGGCAATGCCTCTGGCTCCTGGCTACCTCTTTCAAGTTTAAAATTTCTTATGCCGAGCCCTGCAGAGTCACTGAATTGGCTATTACTACAGATGAAGTTCTGTCCACTAAAAGAAGCGGACTCAGACGTATAACAAGCACTTTATTTCTTTCTAGCCCAGGGCTTCTTACTATGATCTGGGTTCATAGAGAGGAAGGCTGGGTAGAGCTAGACTCATCTGATTTGGCGTTCGTGGGAGCTTATCTCTTCCTGCTGGGTAGCTAGTTTTTCCTTTCTTCCCTTCCCCTCCCCTCCAGATCTCCCTCCTTCCTTTTCTTCCCTTCTCTCTCTGCCTCTCTCTCTTTCTCTAAAATGCAGTTGGGAAGAAAAAGGTATCAGCCATGGGACCCTCTGGTGCACAGGTGTGAGGAGCAAAGAACTTTTCTGCCTTAGACGTAATCAGTTATCTCCTGCTCACTCTAGCTCAGAAGTTGATCTACCTTCTGATCTTAAAATGCTAAATCTCATGGAACTTATAAAAGTTTCCATTTTCTCACCTCTAACAAGCAAAAATGAGTACTCAACAGACTTCTATGGATGTAGTAGCTTATCCCACAGTTCCTACTGTGTGATAGCAAGTGTTTGACCTTCAGGAAGCTGCTCCCTCTGCAGTGACCCTATCACCATCACCCTCCTGCTTAGCCTCCCTGCTGCCCACCCCAGGACAACACACCTCTCAGAAATTAGATAATGAGATATGGTATAAAAATTTTTTTAATTTCCAAATGCAAAATGGTGGTCATTGTAATAATAATAATAATATAAAAAGCATTTATCCTTCCTCCCTAGTGCAAAATGGTAGACGCGTTTAGATAACTCAAAGATACACAGTACTGGACACGTCATGACAATACAGTGCTGCACAGCAGCAAAACTCAATCCCAAATTCCTTTTGGTGGATGCTTGTGGTAGGTCAGTTCTAGATGTCAGTGGCTTCTCTGAAGTAAATCCAGATAACAGACAGCACGTGCACCTGCACTCTCCCAGCGGAGTCAGGCTCCCGTGCGCACGCCCTCTCCATCTCCCCCTGCATCTTTCAGTCGGTTTCGCTCGCTCTGTCTGCCGCCTCTCCCTCCCACTCCACTGGTCTCCCACCATTCCTAGGAGGCGTGCTGCCGGTTGGAGAGGGCCCTGCCGCAGAGGATGGCGTCGTGCTGCTTGCCTTTCTCCTGCAGGGCTTGCTTCTGGAGAGCCTGTCTCTCCCGGGCGGCCTGCAGCTCCGCTACGGCTGCCTCCTCGTCCCGCAGACGGCTGGCGGCCGTGAAGGGGCTGCACACAGTCTCCATCAGGCCGAGCACCACACCGAGGAGGGCCAGCACGCTGCCCAGCACGTACAGCTTCACCAGCTTCCCCTTGCGCTTGTGGGCCATCAACTCCTTGGCCAGGGGGATCAGCTCCTGGACCGTTTCCATCTCAGCTCTGGGCTCTCGGAGGCGGGAGTGAGCTGTAGGAGGGGCAGCAGGAGAGGGGACGTTAGCCACCGGAGAATGGCTGCAGCCTCCCGCCACCCCGTACCCAGCCTCCCGCCACCCCGCACCTAGCTTATCTTGGGGAGGGCTGGTAGAAAGGGGGACCACCTTAGTGGCGTGGCGCGAGCAGGAGGCAGCGCAAGCTGGAGTCGGAGGCGGTCAGCGAATGCGGCGGTCAGTGAATCTGTTGGTCCGGCCGGCCTCGGCGTTCTCCTCCTCTCGGCAGCAGCGGCTCTTCCAGATGGAGACTCCGCAGCTGGTACCTCGTTAGCGTCCCGGGCGCTTATATATTTTCTCCGAGCCACGCCTCCTGGGCTCCCTGGCCCAGGCCAGCGCAGCCAGAGCCAGGGGAAGGGGGAGGGGGAGGAAAGGCAGGAGGGGGAGAGGAGGGGGTGGAATCTGGCGGGAGGTGGCCACGCGCTGCGCACGCTCTGACTGTGTGAGCAAGGGGACTCGCGGGGGCGGGGGGTGGGGGGGCGCGCGCGGGAGGGCAGGCCTGCATGGGAAGGTCCCACTCCAGGGAGGACCTGAGCCCAGGAAGGTGTCCATGGACATTTCTGGCCTGACGGCACCTTCTTACTGGTGTCGGTGGGTGCACAACTTTCTTCGCAAAGGGCAACCTGACGTTATAAATAATGAGGGAATCTGGGGGTTCCACCTAAAGGAGAAAGCTTTAATTTTTATTCGGAAGGTTGTCATCTTTCCACGTGTGTGGCAATGGATCAGAGAGGGGAAGGCAAGGAGGAGGCATCTGGGTAATAGAACAGAACAGGTCATGCTTGGATAAAGCAGTATGTGCCAATATTGTTTCTTTCCTACCTGATTGGTTTTATTGAGAGGTGCATGCATGTAGAGCTGGAGTCAGTTGATAGAAAACTATTCAATGACGGTGACTTTTATGCACAGAGGGGTGTGTGTGTGTGTGAGAGAGAGAGAGAGAGAGAGAAAGAGAGAGAGAGAGAAGTTAGGCTCTTTGCCTGCAAGCTCTTTCCTTATGTACTTCGGTGTATCAGGGAATAGCCTTTAAATTCAAATTCTTCTCACTTACACTTGAGACGTGGAGTTGGGAGCTGGGTGGGGGTGGAGGGGCTCGAATATGGAAGAGGCTGTTGGTAGAAGTTCGTCTGCCATTCTAGAATGGAAGTATTTCATGCTCTCCTCAATAATTCTCTGCCACCCTCCTGGGTTTGGGGGTACAGCTTTACTGCTCCAGCTCAACTTCAGCATTGAAGCAGTTTGGGGCAGAAGGATGTGTAGTAGACAGCTTAGGTAAGAATCCAGAGTGTGAATACTCTTGGATATGTGAAGGATTGATTTTGACCAGGATTAGATATAATCACCTGGGGCTGAGGGAGCTTTCTAATTTGCCTTCAGTTACAGATATGCCAGATTTAGCAAAGTAGGGGAAAAGGAGAGGCAATTGGCCAAAGGGCTTTAAGCAGAGAAAGGGAGGGTGCAGGGGAAAGAAAGGGAAACCAAACTGGCCAAAAAATTGCAAAGGTCAGTGATGCAATCTTGCAACAGCCTTCACAGTTGGCCATACTGAGCCCTGAAGGGCGGGTTGGGGGAAGGGCTGTCTCAGGTATCAAATGTTTTAGTTTTTGTATTGTTAACAGTAATCTTTCTTTGTGGGTCTGAAGCAGTTTCCCAGATGATTCAGTTTAAAAAGGCAGCAATAACAACTACCCTTTGCCTTGGCCATTAATAGTTCAGGCAAGGGTTTGTGTGTGGAGAATGGTCGAGGTTATCTAAATAGCTTATTTGAAATTCTACATTTTAGAATTTAGTCTGTTTGAGTCAAGGTGACTAAGGGCCAAATGGGATGATCCTGGAGGATTGTATTTCCTGCTTATTGTTCTTTTAACCTTGTCAGGCAGGAAAATTCTGTAACAATGGTTCCCGCCAAGTTTAATGTCAGTGTTGGCATTTTCTTTGAATCTTCCTTATAATTTCGGACCCTCTAATAACTGGCAGAAATGATTTGTGAGCTTTCCCAGTATCTATGAGGGTTCCAAACTCATTGCTTCTGGAAGAGCATGTGATATGTGCCCTGATATGAGGGCTGTCACTTGGTTTCCATTCTGAAGGTGAGTCAGCCTAACTTGGGACCCAAAACTCTGAAATTGACTGGCCAGTGGGCATTTCCTGTGTTTCTGTAACTCAGAGACGCAAACCACACATCTTCCTAGGTCAGCAGGTTGTAATTTATCTGGGGTTCCCCTTTCCTGTGATTTCCTGTGTTAGAGCACATTGCCAGCTCAGATCCTTTTTTGACAATTTGACTTTGACCCCTAGGTTCCAGCAGCTATATTGGCAAGGGCTGAGCGGAGGAGGGGCAGCAAGTGCCATGGACAGAGGTCACTGGTAGATTTGATATTCCTAGTTTAGGTGGTAGCTGGGGCTGAGTGGGAGATGATGGGAGTAGAAGCCTAAGGAATCCAATGTCAACTCATGTCTAGGAATTTCTGAGAGCAGCAACTCTGTCTGGGTCAGAAAAGAGAGCCTGGCCCCTAGGGTAGGTGGGGACTAGGTAGGGTTTGGAAACTAAACACGTACTTTAATGAGGCTGATGTCATTTTTAGGGAAATAAAACACTGTGTTGTGTCATGTATGCAGGTTATAGCTATGATGGTCAAACCAAGCCATAGGGTGACCAACCATCTTATTTTGGTCAGGGATGAGGGGTTTTCTGAAATGAAGGACTCCCACTGCTAAAACCGAGGTACTTCCAGGCAAATTGAAATAGTCATCTGCCCTTGAGTCTATTGCAACATTTGACTCTTGCCACTTCTAGGAAGGTGGGACGGGCTAGTTTATATTTTGCTTTCTAAATCCCTTTCTCCCAGACATTAAGACATTCAGAGCCATCTGCAGAGGGTAAAGTCACAAAGAGGTGCATGTGGTTCAAGGGGTAAGTGCAGAGGAGGGATGAAACTGTCCCTACCACTCTGCCTCGGAGATTGAAGACGCAGGGGAAAGAGGTCTTTTGGATGGTTAGTTGTAAATCCGCTTCAATAATAATAATAATAGTAATAATTTTGTTACTAGCTCCTTGCTGCCTACACAAAGTCACTGCACACCTCTGGGACTCCAGGCAGCTGGAGGGAGGGAGTCATTGTAGGAGATATTGTAGTGTAGCAGGATCAGCAGGGAACAAACCTCTCAAACACAGAACAGAGAAAGGAAGTGGCTTTTTATTTGGCCAAGAGCTTCGAGAGGCTAATGCCTTGACCACTGAGCTCTCTGAAGAGCAGTATCTTTCCCTTTTTAAGGGCTTACAACTCCAAAGGGGGAGCAGAGGTGAAACTGTGTCATTGTTCATTGGCTGGACATTTGGCCTCACAAAACTTTGGCTTCATTGATTTGCTAGTTCATAAGCAGTTCGAGAGGGAACAGGCAGGGGAAGGGGCTTACAGAAGCAAGACAAAGGCAGTAAATTATTAGTAGGCAGAGATATTTCTAGGAGGGGGCCTGGGTCATGCAAATGTGGAGGACGTGACCCAGTGCCAGGCTCCAGCTGGTAGTAATACATTCTTTGCAACTTTTTCAAGGCTTATAGATAGCAGAGGCACTGGGAACCAAAAAGAGTTATCTTTCCAGTCCTTGGGGCTGTTTATAGTCTGGTCAGTGGTGTCAGCAAATTGCCTGACCACGGATTTAAGCTCTTTGGTATTTTATCTCTTTTTCACTCTTCTTCCCATCTGAAAGGGAGGAGGGAGGTGGAGGCTGGGAAGTGGGAGGAGGGGAAGAGGTCTCCCATCTCAGTAGCAGGACAGAACACAGATGAAACCTCCTGGACACCAGATTTAAAGAAGGAAGTGGCTTGTATTCTGCTGGGAGTATCAGCAGACTTGTGTCTCAAAAACTGAGCTCCCCAACAAAGAAAATACTAGCCCTTTTAAAGGCTTACAATTCTAGAAAGTACATGTGAGAGGGTTGCGATAAATGAAGTGCATGATCAGGTCGGGGTTTGAGCAAGATTGAGCAGAACTCACGTTTCTCCATGTTATGTCTGCTATCTATAGATAGGAGTGTGATTAAGGGTGGTGCCCAGTCTGCTAGCCTTTACTTTTTTCTAAACACAGTTTACAACCTAGCCTAGAATGCAAGATAAGCTTGCAGCTTCACTAGGGAGGGATGACTTAAATTCCTTAGCCTCTGTACAACTCTTAAATGTCCTTTACTTTTAGCTAACTACTACTTGTGTTATGCTTATTATTTAAACTATACTCTGTTCTTTTTATTTTCCTTCTACAATATGATAAAACTATTTGTAATTTAAAAACTACCCCACTTGAGTTTTTTTTTTTAAGTCCCTTAGTTTCTTTTCACAGTTTTAAAAAGAAGGCTTCTTATCACTCAATATCAATGGAAGACACTGAAACTTATATGTCTAGCCTTTATCTCCTCTGGTCTTGTAGACAAGAGTTCTACAGTCCAGTATTTCTGCGTGGATACCCTGCTATCATCACAGCTTGACTCACTTAAAACAAGACCCCTTACCTTCTTCTCTATACTCTTACTGAGCTACGTCCTCGTCTCAATATCCTTATTTCTAGCAGTGACGGCTCCATTATATTTGTTCTCTGGGCTTGAAATATTGTGGCAGTTTTTTTGGGAAGGCCTTCCCTGACTACTGCATCCCACCACTCTCCACCCCGTGCCCTACTTTCTTTTTTTCCTAGCACTTGTTACCTGACTCTATGTGGATCTACTTAATGATTTGGTTTTATATTGTCTTCCACGTGTTGGAGGATAGGCTTCGTGAGAGTGGGGACTTTGGTTTGCTCTTCACAGTGTCTCCAGTGACCAGTATAATCCTTAGCACATAGTAGGTCCTTAATGGCTAACTATGGGATTAATGAATGGCTTTCCTATTAGACTGTGAAGTCTGGCAGGGGAGGAACTGTTTGTTTTTTTTGCATACAGTCCAACTTTTAGTA